TTCTTACAAGCCTAGAGAAGGTTTGCCTCCAGGTGCGACTGAAGAGCAATGATCCAAGGAAGACCGGGAAGGCTGCCCAAAATCCAAAAGCAAATCCCTGTCTGAAGCTCAAGTGAGATTCCTGGGGGAAATGTGAGTCATCATCTTCAAGATCTCCATCTGATAATACGCCACACAAACTTAAACTTGCATGTAACAAGGTCTGCCATGGACATAATGCATGGAAAAACTTCCACACAAAGCCCGTTATAGTGACAATATCTTCAATACAAGCTCAGAATTAAAGAATTATCAATACGATGCTCTGTTTTAGCAGCCACTTCTGTATTGGATCATGATACCGTATTAATAGGAAAAGTATTAAATGTGTAAAAACAAGAAGTAAATAGTAGTCGCACAAAAGGGAAAGAAGATGCATGTGAATGGCATCTGGCGAAGTAAAGGGGAAAGATCAAAGGAAGCTACCATTAAGCTTCCATTTCCATTTTCTCGCGTGAGTTTGTAAGCCAGCAGAATGGAGAAAATGGAAGAGGGAAAGAAGAAGACGAAAGGCACACATGTGACTTTGCCCTCTTTTGTTAACAATGGAGAAAATGGAAGAAGAAAAAAAGAAGACGAAAGCCTCAAAGCTGAAGAAAGAAGAAATATAAAGATAATGGCAAAGATTAGCTTGTGATGTTAGAGGGTGTGAAAATGGCATACCGTTTCTCTGCACCAACCTCCCCATTTTGTCACATTTCCCAGTTTGCAGTGTTATATGCGATAGTGAAATGATTATTGGTACAAAATGGCATTTTGGGTATAATGTTAGCAATTAGCATGATCACATTTAATTATTAATATTTTTGTTGGCTATTTATTTTTTTGCTAGTATGAATGGTGCAAACCTCCGATCAACGTTCGCGAGGGCGTGTTGAAATTGAATTTGATTGTGATGATATTCTTTAATGTAGAAGTGAACTGAGATTCAATAAATTTAATTTGAATGTGTGGTTTGACTATTTTTAGTTTATTTAAATTTGAATTTGTAACTGTGGAAGGATTTTTTAATCAATATTTTAATATAGATAAAATAGAAGTATGTTAACTTAATGATATGACACAGTAAACACTAAAACCCTTTTAAGAAACTTATGGTACGGGGGGAATTAGTCACTACTATTACTAGGAGTAGATATCATGAGCTTAACCCAAAAAAAAAAAAAGTAGTTCCATTACATTTGCAGGAATTTGGGAGATGTCAAAAGCCTCAGAGCTGAGAAAGAAGCAAGATGACTGGCAAAAATCAGCATGTATGTGATGTGAGAGGGTGTGAAAAAGCTATGGCATCCAGTTTCTCTCCCCTAATAACCTTCCCATCATGAGGGACATTGTTTTGTGATGAAGTTGAAAGCTTTGGAAAACCCTTAAAAAAAAAAACACTTTAACAGGTACTTTTATGTAGTAAAAAAAAACTTTTTTTTTACATACTTACACGGCATAAAGTCACTTAAATTGAGTTAAATCAAACTTTTCATTAGTTAAATGACTTGTGTCATATTGGAGATACTAAAAATCAGACCATCAATAAACTAGTCGAGGTAATAGTTCAACGGTTAATGATTCAGATCGGAGTCAACTTAGGGTTAGACCGGTCATGATTAAAATATTCTTTTAAAATAATAAGAATAAAATTGAAAGCATTAAAATATAAAATATAATTATAAAAGAAATGTAAATAAGCATTTCCAATAAAAAAAGTGAACAACCCATTAATTTACATAATTAATAATTTTGTTGGCAAAAAAAACATAACTAATAATTTTATATTAGGGAAAAAAATCCTCCATAGTCCACACCCTGCACTTGGCGCTAATTGAGTATATAATAATAATAATAATAATAATAATAATAATAATAATAATAATAATTTCAATTTTAACATGTCTTGGGACCTGAAAAAGCAAAACGTGGAAGGGTGAAAATGGGCTTCAGTTGAAAAGTGTGAGATGGGAAAACGTGACATATAACCATTGAATCATCTTCTTTTAATTAAAAGTAAATAAATTATAACCATCTCTGATAACCAAAAAAAAAAAAAATTATAATCATCCATTTCATATGAAGGGCTATGATACAATAACTTCTTTTCTGCTGGTTAAAAAAAAAAAGTTCTTTTCTAAGTACACCCCTTTCAATTTCAAGCTACGGAATCTACAGATCTTGCGGTCTCTTGCAGATCTGGTTGGATTTAGAAAGTGGAAGAAATTGGGGAGGGGCTCTGGTGTACACCAAGCGCCAAAAAAAAAAAAGGATCAAGACAGATGATGAGGCTAAGAGTTTGACTGGTTTTTTCTCTCTCTCTTTTTTTTCCTTCTTCGTTCTTCTTCGACTCTCTCCATTTATTCAACTCTTCTTCTTCATTTTTCTAACGGTATCTTTTTTTCCCCCCCAAAACCTGACATTTCCATCATCTGGGATCTCAAAAAATTGACTTGGTAACTTGCCTTATCTGGGTTCCGACCGAGTCACCCCCAACTCGCAACGGGTTGTTTTTGCGTTGGGGTAGAAGCTTGACCGGACCAAGCAAGTAACTGAGCAGCTGGTTTTTGGGCCAACCCAGCCGGTCCGGTCTGATTATCAGTTTCACGCTCTTCTTCCTCTAGGATTGTGGGAAAATGTTTCGCAGAGTTCCAAGAAGAGAGGGTCACTGGGGGCAGCTAATCAACAAGCGTAAAGTCGTACATCTCATGTTTTTTAGCCTTAAAGCAGCAAATACTTCATACCTGAAGCAGCATTTTCCATATTATAGATTATAGATTGTTAAACGAAACATTAAGAGTACTCATACCACTCATTTGTCCTCCATTCTCGTATATTAGGAATATATTAAATTGATAAAATTTTTCATATTTATCCTTATAAAAAAGGATTGGGTGAATGTACAAAATATCTATAAACTTATATCAAAAGTACATTAACCACGATAATTTTTCTTGGAAGTATAAAAACACTCGTAAACTTTAGAAATAGAAATAGGAGAAAAATGACATTTTGGTTAACAAGAGTCAACATCGGTTACTTTTCTCCGGCTTTTGCCAGGTGGTGTTCAGGTGTAACTTATAATCTGAAAGTACGAGGATATCCCCTACTAAAAAAACACCTTCTGGCATCTCATAGGCTGGCCGCCGGGCGGCTCTTACTGAAATAACGTCGGTCCATCTTCCTGTGCAGCTCCAAGATAAAGAACGGCTAAAAAAACAAAAAAAGGCCATCCCGGCCCATTATATATATAAAGAAAAAAGAAATTTCGCCCCATTTCCTGTAAGTTTCTCAAGCAAGCGTCAGCAAAATGGGGGAGCAAGAGAGTAGTAATAGCATCCAAGGGACTGACCGAAGTGTTATTTTTGCTCCTATTTTTAAAGTTTATAAATACTTTTATACATTCAAAAAAAGTTGTAGTGTTATGACGGTAGATTCACTTTTAATATAAGTTCATAGATACTTTTATATCTTCATCTAAAAAAATATTGAAAAAAATATGTTATGCATTTTGTCTCATGTTTCTTTTATTGTATTCAACAGAGTTAAAATTTTTAAGTTGCAGCAGGTAGCTTAATCTTTTCCACATCTTTTGTGCCATATGCATATATATAAGTTCAGCCATTCGGAGAATAAGTTTTTTGATTTAGAGATAGAAAACCATGAAGAAGATTAAAAACAAGACTAAAGCACAGGCACAAACACCGAGCGGTAGTTTTCATTTTGTATTTCACAATATTCTTTTCACACAACATATGGGACTTCTAATTTATTACTACTTCTGATCCTTAATATAAAAGTTAACTAAATTTTAAAATATTGAAAAAATTAGTTGAACTGATTATTTGCAACAAATATGTGTTGGTTTTCTTAAACTTTGGTTTTTTATATTGTGTATTCGGACTACTTTTTGTTTTTGGTAAAAATCCCTTACAATTAATAGGAATATTATTTTTTAAAAAAAAATAAAATGAATTGAGGTATTATATTTAAAATCAAATTTAACTTTCTAGCTAACTCTTTTTTTTTTTTTGTCAATATAACTAGCTTTTATATTAAGAAGCAAAGACAATGTTGCACTAATTTATTATAAGCTCCCCTAGCTTACATTTTTTCTACAGTATTGGGCATGAAGAGGGGGGGGGAATGTTTCCAATAGTATATCTTTCAAAAAATCTTTAAAGACTAAGCATCAATTACTAAAAGTGAGACCCGCAAAGACTAAATTATTCAACCTCCAACGCCACAAACATAACCCTGACACAAAAATTATTTTGTGTTTTTTTCTTTAGAAACAAAACAAAGTTGTAAATTATTATGCCAGTTATTATGTAATAAAATACCTATTGTATGACTCAAATGTGGCAACCCACCAAGAGAGGTGCGGAACCCTCCCAAAAGAGGTGTGTGCCACTTGAAGCAACAAGCACACAGTATTCTTTAGTAAAAGGCAAAAGAATAGTTCGCTCTGTGCCCAGTGCGTGGCCGTGTGCTTCCCAACGTTGGCTTGCTTTCTTCTTTATATGCCTTTGTTATGCGAACTATGTGCCTTCAAACTCGCAGTATGCCTGTATTTTAACATACCAAAGTGTATTCGGTTTCTCTTTATGTCCAACAGAAATCATATAAATGAACACACAAGTCATACAAATCATCAAGCTATCAGCAATCCCTACTTTGTATAGAACATAAAAAACTTAAAACAGTTCGATTGAATGCTAGCAATGAAGATTATTGAAAGTAACATTATATTACATATAACACAGCAAATTCTTCCAACACACGGTTTTTACTTGGATCACAAATTATTAACTATCAAGGATGATCCTACGTACAATAAGCCAAAATAGTTACAAATCCTGCAAGAAACACGACAGTGCGTTAAGCGTTCAGAAAATATTTTTAATGTGTTAAGAAAGAAACATAATTACTTTATATGATTACCTATCTATATATTGGTGACGCATCTTGCCACATAAATGGCCATCTTGGTCTGGGCTCTGTCTGTAATTTTTCTTACAAATGTGTTGTAGGTTTGCCTCCGAGTGCGATTAAAGAGTAATGGCCCAAGGAAGGCCCAAAATCCAAAAGCAAATCCAAATCTCAAGCTCAAGTAAAATTCTTGAGTGAAATGTGAGTCATCATCATCTTCATAATGATCAAATGCTTGAGGTGTAGGTATTTCATCATCAAGGCACTTTTTGTCCAGTGGTGCTCCACAGAGATCAAGATTCCCCTCATATGTGTGCCTTTTGGCATTTTTCCTGAAAGATGATTGTTTGACAACTCTAATACACTTAGGCGATCAATATGAGCAAGACTTTGTTAGTAAAAGATTTTTCTGGGCATAAAATGAATGAGGGCTTATAGAATTTTTTTTTCCCTATTTAGCTTTTCAGAAGTGCGAAGTTCTGATGGGGGAATCTGTTTTATTAGGATGTTTTGTCTTATTTGGGAAGGGCATTTGGTGCTAGTAATGCCAGTCAGGGCGACAATGGAAACATAGCACAACAACAATCTGCAAACCTAATCACCAAGTCTTCATCAATCCCTAGTGATCCATCAGCCGCAGATACATCTAGTTCTGATCTGGGGCCGAGCGCTAATGCGCCTAAAAATAATCTGTCCAGGGCTTTTTCTGAAGAGGCTCTTGATTATGAAGCCATGATACTGGATATGCGTGGACAGAATTTAACCAGCCCAGCTGGTTTATCCTCAAATGATCTATCGAGGGCATTGGTTGATAGGTTTTCTATCGTTGAGTTGAAGCATAAATTCCAACTTTACAAGGTTGAATTTTTGCTGCTAACCAGGAATTTGAAGCTAGCCAAACGTGAAGTGAAGCTCGCTAAGGACATTGCACGTGGAAGAGATTCTTCAATGGCTCTTCTTTTGAAATCTCAGCTTGAATATGCTCGCCATAACCACCGCAAAGCAATCAAGCTATTGATGGTATCAAACAACAGGACAGACCCAGCATTTTTGAGCATTTTCCACAACAATCTTGGTTGCATTTACTATCAGCTTGGGAAATACCAGACATCATCTTTGCTTTTCTCTAAGGCATTGACTAATTGTTCATCCCTTAGGAAGAACCAACCGCTAAAGCTGCCAACCTTCTCTCAGGATAACGCTCTTCTTATAGTATATAATTGTGGTATGCAGTACTTGGCCTGTGGAAAGCCATTACTTGCTGCTTGCTGTTTTCAGAAGTCTAGTATGGTCTTCTACAATAAGCCTTTCTTGTGGCTTCGGCTAGCTGAATGCTGTCTGATGGCTTTGGAAAAGGGCCTAATTAAATCAAGCCGTATTTTACCAACAAGATTGGAAGTTGGAGTTCATGTTGTTGGAAGGGAAAATGGAGGCAACTTGTACTGAACAATGAGATTCCAAGAAATGGATGTGCAGACTCGCTTGACAGAGATGATTGTCATCTCAAAAATGATGTGCAGCTGAATTTATCGTTGTCTCTGGCCCGGCAGTTCCTGTTAAATGTCCTGTACTTGATGGATTCCAACAAGACGGATAATTTAAAGTCTGGCTTGCCTTTCAATTCGTTAAGTGAGGAAAATCATTCAGGTGATGTGTCATCCAACAATTCAAATAATAAGAATTCACTCGGAATCGATTTCAAGGCATTTTCATTAGCATTAAGCTTAGGTCATGCTAATTCAAACGGAGACGTGAAAGAGCAAAAGGGAGGTGCTAATCAGGAGGTCATTCAGAACTCGCTGTCCTCTTATGAAGATATTTGCAGAAGAGAAAATTTATTGATTAAGCAGGTAGCCCTTGCTACCCTGGCAGTCAGTTGCAACATCTCTTCTGGAACTTCCAGAATGCTCTAGAATTTATCTCTTTCTAGGCCATGTTTATTCAGCAGAGGCACCCTGCTTGCTAAATAGACCAAAGGAAGCTGCCCAGCATTTGTCAATTTATATGTCTAGGGGATACGCTATTGAATTGCCTTTCAGTCGAGATGACTGCAAGAAATGGCAGGTGGAGAGAACTGCTGAATTTGAAGACGGAACTGCAGGATCTATGCCAGCCAACATTTCTTCATCTGACGATTCTCAACGTATGGATTTTCTTAAGCCAGAAGAGGCCCGTGGGATAATTTATGCAAATTTTGCAGCACTATCTGTAATGCAGGGCGAGTTAGACCAAGCCCATCAATTAGTTGCCCAGGCGTTATCCATATTGCCAAACAGTCCAGAAGCCACAATTACTGCAATTTATGTAGATCTCTTGCTTGGTAAGCCGAAAGAAGCTTTATCCAAATTAAAACAATGTAGCCGCGTTATATTCCTTCCCAGTGCCATTACATTGAATAAGTCTTAGAGTCTGTTGTATTCATGGGCTTTATCATTTTTGCCTGATCTTCTCAGAGCTAGTTAGCAGGTAGCTTAATCTTTTCCATAGCTTTTGTACCATATATATAGGTTCAGCAATTCAGAGAATAATTTTTTGATTTATTCCTTTATTATGATTTTCGAATTCAAATGTACGAGTCTCATTCATAGGCGTGGTGGCTGTCTTTTAATTTTTGCTACTGCCACCTTAGAAATTTGAGGTGTAATTTTTTTTTTTGGTTGAGTTGTGCTTTACAGGCTAATTTAGTTTATATTTAAAGTAGAGCTCGTGCTTACATCGACAAAGAACAGGAAATTTGATAAGTCTTGTTTGAATCTAATTCCATCCTTATTTTTTGACATCAAAAGCTTGATCGTGTCTGATTCTTGAATCCCGTTTAGTATCATTCTGATATGATGTATAGATTGATCCAATTTATTGTTGCATTTCCCAATGTGCAGTGTTATATGTGATGGTGATTATATCTTGGGAATGATATGTGTGATACTGATTATATTTTGGGAATAATGTTGGCATGATTTTATTTGACTATTAATTATTAGTATTTCTATTAACCATTTATTTATTTTTTTTGTTAGCATGAATGCTGCAAACCTCTAGTCAACATTCGCGGGGAATCATGAAATTGAATTTGATTCTGATGGTATTCTTTAATGTAGCGCTTGAACTGAGATTCAATAAATTTTATTTCAATGAATGTTTTGATTATTTAGTTTATTTAAATTTGAATTTATGAGTTTGGAAGGATATTACACTTATTTGCAATCGGATATTTCAACATGAACACGTTTCAATTGTACACCTTTGGTATACAATGCATTTTCTCAAGTAATTATCTGGTGCAGGAAAAAAAAGATATAATTCATTTTGAATGAACAAGATATTGAGGAATTGTCCATATGTAAAATCATAATTATTGATATAGGCCTTTTTCATATAAAAAGGGAATCTTTTGTTACACTAGAAACAGAAGTGATGTCGATTAATAAGGACCTAATCGGAAATCACTTTTTATAGGAGAGCTGTCAAATTATGTTACATGTCATTCTATGTGGATATAAATTTCAAAGTGGGATCCCCCCCCCCCCAAAAAAAAATTCTAAATGGAATGTTGGCCGGAAGTGAATTGGATTTGGAATTTGGATATATATATCATATTTTTATTCAAATCAATTAATTTCTCATATCTGTTTTGCCTTAAAAAAAAAAACTCAAAAACGCTATCAGCTAGCCCAAACATGTTAATTTTGATGACGTCTAATGCCCCGGTGCTTTTTTGATTCACTGGCCCTCACATTCGTGCTTATTCTATTTTAAGGAAGTGCGCTCTTTTTCATGTTTTTTAAGGAAAAAAGACAGTAAAATATTCTCAAAATTACTAAATAACAAATTAGGGTAGATAAATTTCAAAATCCCAATTCAGACCCCAAGTATCATTTTGGAATTTTCAAATCTTGTAAAATGATAACATTGTCCTTACTGTATGTGATTACTTCCATATAGCTATTGACTACTCTATTTTAACTATTGACTACTTTTGTTTTCAAAGTTCCGATGAACATTTTTATATAGCTATTGACTACACAAGAGTAGTAAATTGCATTACTAGAGTAGTCAATAGCTTAGCAAGAGTTGTCATCAGAATTAAAAAATAAATGTAGTCAATAGCTAAAAAAGAATAGTCAATACATAAGAAAGAGTAGTCATTGGAACTCCGCTGACCAGTCACTGGAGTTCCGGTAACGTGTCATCAGAGTTTAAAAATAAATGTAATCAATAGCTAAAAAAGAGTAGTCAATATATAAGAAAGAGTAGTTATCAGAGCTCCGACAACTGGTTACCGGAACTCCGGTCGCCGGAGCTCCAGTGGTTGGTTGCTGGCAAGGTCGTCGACGTCGGAGCTCCGATAGCCGAAATTGCTGATGTGGCAGTATTTAAAAAAAAAAAGTTAAAAAAAAAAAGTAAAGGACACTTGTGTAATTTTACCAGATTTGAAAATTTCAAAATAGTACCTGGAGTCTGAATTGGGATTTTGAAATTCAAATACCCTCTTTTGTCATTTAGTAATTTTGAGGGTATTTTAGTGTCTTTTTCCTTTTTTTAATCTGACCAATTTTTTTTATTTATTATTTTTATAACTTTTATTAGGTTCGCATTTGTTTTGCCAATCAACTGATGGAATTGACAGTGTTAAGGCCATTTTAACAAAATTAACATCATTTTCAAGTTACCTCATGTCATTCTAAGTATTTTTCAAAATAATACTAGCATTCTAGACGGAACCAATAAAATGGACAGAAGACCAAGAAAATTTGGAGATTAAAACAAGATTAAAGCACAGGAACACGGTGGTAGTTTTCCTTTTGCATATCACAATATTCTTCTCGCATAACATGCAGGACTAACTAATTTATTAATACGGCTTAATTTGTCCTAAATATAAGATTTATATTTAAGACTGAGATAGCATTGCATTAATTTATTATAAGCTCCCGTATGGTTGAAAAGAAGAGAAAGAACGGTCTCCTACAGTATATCTTTGCCAAAATATCTTTTAGGAGGGAAATCTTCAACGAGCTTTATTCAAAACCATATAATTCTTGCGAAACTATAATACTCCTCTAGTCTTTAATATAAAACATATTTAATTAATTTGATTAGATTAAGAAAGTTAGAGAAGTTAGTTAACTATAAGAAATATGATATGTTTTTTCTAAAACGCCATAATCATCTTCCTTAATATTTCATCTCTCTCTTTTACTTGATTATGGTTGAGAAAGTATCCACAAGGACAATTTAGAAAAAATTAATAAACATGAGAAATAGGTTTTATATTTAGGACCAACATCAACTCAATAATTAGGTCCTATATTAAGGACCGGAAGAGTATAATCAACAACTTTATTACACTTTTGAAGTTGATTTCGGACTATCATTAACAAGTTTATGCTGGAACTTGAAAGTACATCTTGCTGCTCTTATTGCCATTGCGACTTATATGCTCAAATCCTTCACATGAAAATTATTAGCACATAATAAGATTATATATAAAAAAAAAATCTCTGTTTTTCCCACTGCCACAATAAATATTCATAATTTCGTTTTTCGTTTTCGTTTTCGTTTCCAAAAGTCTGGACTTCCATTTTTTTTCTTTTTGTCTTCAAGCATAATGATTTTCTTCAGTGGCTCAAGATGGTGAATTCAACACAAAGCGGCTAATGGTTATTTTCTCATATATAAATATTTGACAAATTTCATGTCTGCTGCCTTAAGCATACTTGTAATCAACAGCTTAGTACAAAATAGCAGCAAGCAAGAATATATAGAATCAAAATTAAACAGAAACTTAAATTGTTAGAAGCTAAGCTACCAAGTTTTGTATAGGGTACCCATATTTATCCAATGGAAATCATATAACCGAACAAACATTCATACAAATCATCAAGCTATCAGCCCCAGTTTGCATACACAGAAAGATTTACAAGGCAATAGAAAAGCAATAGCTCGATTGAATATAATGCTAGTAATGAAGATTATTAAAAGTAAATTAGATTACATATAACATAGCAAACTCATACAACCAACAGTTTTGACTTCGAATCACAAATTATTAACTACCAAGGATGATCCTTCGTACATCAAACCAAAGAAGTTGCAGATTCTGCAAGAAACATGATAGTGCGTCACATATTTTGAAAATGTCACTAGTGCGATAAGAAAAAATACATTATTACTTTTATTACTTTATATGATTACCTATCTGTTCGTGAGGTACTTTGCTACATAAATGGCCATCAAGATCTGGACTCTACCTGTAACTCCTCTTATAAACGTATAGTAGGTTTGTCTCCAAGTGCGGTTGAAGAGCAATGGCCCAAGGAACGCCCAAAATCCAAAAGCAAATCCCAATCCCAAGCTCAGATAAAATTCTTGGGTGAAATATGAGTCGTCATCATCATCTTCATAATGATTAGATGCTTGAGGTGAGGGTGTTTCATCATCAAGGCACTTTTGTCAAGTGGCGCTCCACAAAGATCAAGATTTCCCTCATACTTGTGGCATTAAAACTTTGCAATTGTGTGCCTTTTGGGATATTTCCAGAAAGATGATTGTTTGAAAAGTCTAACACACTCAGGCGATCAATATGAGCCAGACTTTGAGGGATTGGACCTGATAATCTGTTTCTTGACAAATCTAAGAATTCTAATGATCCCAGATTTCCAATCTCAAGAGGAATTTTTCCACTTAATTTATTTCTAGATAGATTCAATGAAACCAATCCCAATAAAGATACAACTTCTTTAGGTATTTCACCAGTGAGAGTATTGCTAGATAGATCAATGCTTTTAAGAAATTGTTCTGGCTTCTTGAACAAGTCATCTTTACCCTTCCACTCAATGTTATGTAGAATTCAAAATCTAAATTGATAATTTGCTTGTCAGATTGACCATACACAAATGATAACCTGCATCAGCTAAGTTGATATGGTCATCATGTGCCAAAGCAGTAAAATTTTGAAGACATGATGGGATTTCATTGGACAAATTGTTATGAGATAGGTCCAAGAGCCGAAGATGGCCTAAGCGACAAAGATGCAAAGGTATTCTGCCATGTAAATTATTCATTCTTAAGCTTAGAATTTGCAATTGTCCAAGGTTTTCTCCAATCCATGAAGGTACTGACCCTAACAACTTATTTTCAGACACATCTAAGAGCAATAACTGGGAGCAATTTGTCAAGAAAAAGGAAGTTCTCCAACTAGGCTGTTGTTTCTTAAATCAAAGCCTCCAATTCGTAAGTCGTCCCATAGAGGTCGGCATCACTCCGGACAAGTTATTATTGCTCAAATCAACAAACTCTAATAAGCTCAAATGGCTCCAACAATCAGGCAGATGCCCCTCTAAATGATTGTTTGATATGTCTAAAATGCCCATGTCTTCATTATCTTCAATTTGATCACAAAGAAGTGGGACCAAATTTGAGAATTTGTTTTTGAAAGATAAAGTGCTGATACTTGTGAAAAATTGATGGAACCGCACCTTCAAAGTTGTTTGATGTCAAAATTATTTGTCTAGTACTGAGCTGCAATGATAATTTGGAATTTCACCAAAAAATTGTTATATGAGATGTTCACGTAATCCGCATCTTTTATCAGTGGCCAAAACCATTCAGGTATGAAACCTGAAAGCCCACAATTAGAAATATCCAATACCTCTAACTCATGTTGATTATGGAGCCAATTAGGAAGATAAGAACCCAACATACAAGAAGCCATTTCCAAATCTTGCAACTGAAATGGGGCAACCCATCTAGTGCTAATTTGTAGCCCTAATGGATTGCCAGACAGTGATAAACTCTTCAAATTAGAGAGCTTGTTGAAATGAGATTCAGTTATCACACCTCGTAAATTGTTCCCATCCAGCTGCAAACTATTCAATTGAGATAGCAATCTGATGCTTTCAGGTACTTCTCCTTTTAATTGATTGTTAGAGAGATCTAGATGTTCCAAAAAGGAGAAAACAGAGAGATCAGTTAACATGCCCTTTATCTGATTGTCAGATAAATCCAACCCCTGTAGGGGATGACTATTGCACCGAGAACTGTTTTGGATGAAACTTGAAAGCTCCCCACTAAAGTTATTGTATGAAAGATATAAGTGCTTCAAAGTGCATATATTCCCCAGTGATGTTGGTATTTCACCATGCAGCTTATTTTGAGAGAGATCAAGAACTTCCACAGAGTTCATTATGTTTCCAAAACCTTGTGGAATAGGACCCTCTAGCAAGTTTCCAAAAGTTGAATCTCATGAAGATTAGGGTAAAGTTAGAAATCCAATGGAATATCGATGATGATGTTAACAATTATAAGAGAAATCAAGCTGGACAGAGAAGTGAGATTGGGATTCAAAGATGTAAAATAATATTATCAGATAAAAGGCTACAATTTATTAAATTAAGCACCTGCAGATTGGAGCTGAAGTTCAGTGCCATTAGTGGCATCAGGTTATTGTAGAAAGGTCAAGGACAATGAGGGAAGAAAGCTGAAAATTGGGAAAATATAAATGAAGATCAGTACTTGAAAGATTACAATATCTTAGATATAGCTCTTGAAGGTTGGAGCTCAAATTGAAGGGCCATCGAAGTGATGATGAGTTCAAGTTATTACCAGAGAGATTAAGGATAACAAGAGAAGAGGAATAATTTGAAGGATAAGAAGTCAAAGAGGATTATGGTATAAGAAATGCCACATGGGTATAAGAAATGCCACATTCACATAGTTGCAAAACTCTAAGTTTTGACAGTTCACCAATCGATTGTAGCCAGAGATGAGAATAGCCAACGTCACTCACAAAACTCAAGTCAAGACTTGATAGCGAGAAGAAAGCTCAGATAGCCACTTTGCATCATGATTGTTCTGCTGATCAAATGTGAGATTAAAATTAGCACCAAGTTGTAGTGTTTGCAGCATGGAAAGATTCCCGAGCTGGAAAGGGATCACTCCACCAAGAGAATTATCTCCAAGATAGAGATGTTGCAGCTTTGAAAGGTTTCCAATCGTCCAAGGGATATCTCCAACCAATATATTGGTACTCAAATCAAGACATACTAAATTTGAAAGCTTTCCCAATTGATAAGGAATAGTGCCAGCAAAACCACAAAAAGAGAGATTGAGATATCGTAACTTGGTAAAGGACTCTATGGACTCTGGGATTTCACTTGCGTAGAAATCATTGCCACTGAGATCCAAATATTCCATATCATGCAATTCACTCAATGAAGTAAGTAATATTAATTTTACTACTCAAAGGAAATGAACTGCGAAGATTAAGGAATTGAATGTGACCTGTTTCATTACTGCAATAAAACTCCTTTCCAGTTGCAGCAGTCTTCATGATCTCCATCTCTCCATGTTGATAACATTCCAGAGTCGTCTTGCACGATTCCTTGTTTGATAAGAGTAAAGCTTTTCTCTCATTCTCTACGCACTTTGCTCCTTCAGCCAAACTGAAACTCGAATGTAACAGAAGCAGCAATGCAAATAACGCATAGAAAAACTTCCAGATAAAGGCCATTATAATGACAGTATCTTCAATTATAGGTTCAGAAGTAGAGAACTAGCAATACATATATAATGCTCAAGAGATGTGGTTGAGGCGTGAGAGAGTGAAAAATGAAAATGAATGTAGGGCCATAGACTTGTCGGCTCTTGTAAATACAAAGTCATCGTTTAGAACACGCTTCAACAATTTTTAGACTTTTATGTAGATACTACCTCTGGTCCTAATTATAAGACCCAGTTGACTTATTTGAGGAGATTAAGGAAGTAAGTTAAGTTAGTTATTTGTAATAAATAAGTGTTGTCATTCCTAAAATATCCTTGCTAATTAAGTGTATTGGCTAGAACTATTATTATTAGAAGGATTATTTTGAAAAAAAATGCATAAATATGAGAGACAAAATGGATTGGGGTCTTATAATTAGGACCAAACAAAAAGTCAAACGGGGTCTTATAATTAGGACCAGAGTAGTAGTATTATAAGAGAGATAAAGCCACAATGTACACAAGAAAATGGAAAATGCTTTCGAAGAAAATTATCAACATTTACAAATTTTGTGGGCTTGCTGATAGCTTGTTTATGGGTTAATTGTGAGGCTATGCTTGAAGGTTGACTTGGAAGACTTTTGTAATGAAGAAAAATCAAAGTCGTCACACATAACTTGTTATTTCAACAACTATGTTGGCTTTCATATGTTATCAAAAAAAATTATTTTTGAGCCAAATGAATTGTATTGTCAATATATAATAATTTATATGTATAATAAGGTAAATAAGTCATATTGTTCATAAATCATAAATAATATGCTTTATCTCTCAAATCATGTATAATATACAAGAAAAAGTGATTAGCTACATACGAAAATAGGTGTTTAATTGGATTTGAAGGGATAGCTCAGATCACGCCATGTGACAAAGAAATGTTCTCAACAGCTTCTGCCGCACAAGAAAAGCAATTATCAAAGAGAAGTGCCCAAAATCAGTAAAACCGTTTTGGAAAAGAAAAGCATATTTATCTTATCATCTATGAAATAAAAAGAACATGCAAACTAAGATTTGAAAATAAATTAAAACAAATCCAGTTCAACTAACGTCAATTGTTTCACAGAAAAGAAAAAAAGGAGGAAAAGTTCCAATGAATAGCTAAAATAACAAAATCTAAATTGAGACCTATATTTTTAACAAATTCTAATCAAACAGGACTAATTAAGGATTTTAAATCTTGTTAAATGATCACATTGCGCTAATTTTCTTCTCTAAAAGCCAATTATTTTCCCCTAGAACCACCTCTACCGTGTGGGGGATAGGGGTGTAAGAACAATTTCAATTGTTCCACCTGATGAAAGACTAAAAGAGGGATTTCTGATGATGAGGAGAGAATTAAGAAGGGGGCAAGAAATTTATAAGATTTAAAAATTCTTAATTAGTAATTAGAAATTGTTTTAAAAACATATGTTGAACCTAAATTTTAATATTTTAATTGAATAATTAATATTTTCTGAAAAATAAATGAATATATAAGTAAAATCTAAGGCTAAGTTTAGATCAAGTTAATTTGGTTCCTTATATCCATTACTCCAATTAAAGTGTGCCACCTGTATAATTTTTTTTTTAATTTCAGCACTTAACCCAAATTTACTCTTAACAATTTGTTACTTTCAGTCCTAAATATAATAATTAGTTGAAAATTTAATTTAATTCTAAATATAAGATCACGATCTATTTTATCTTACATATCTATTCATTTTCCTTTAAAGTAGTGCTTATAATGATTGCACATGATAAAATGTTTTCTTCTTAATGTATATGATTAGTAGGGATATTTTAAGGAAAAAACACTAGTTTATTATAAATAACTAACTTAACTAATCTTTTAATATTGAAAAAATTAATTATCTAACTCTTATTTAAGTACCAGAGGTAGTAGTTTTAGGAATTTAAAAAACAATTAAAAAGACAACTCTACGTGGAGGCTGGGTTGGCCATGAGATGTGCTTGAGGCGTGAGGGAGTGAAAAATGGGTAGTAAGATTTGGAGAATTCGCTGGGGGGCTATAGACTTGCAGACTTTTCTACATACAAAGTTGCCGTTCACAACACGTTTCAATAATTTTTCCTATGTTTAGTACGAGGGAAATGGACTGAAATGAACGGAAAATTTTTTTAATAAGCTCAATTTTATAAATCGAGAAAGTGGGGTTATAAAGTTTGATTAAAAATGTAAAATAAAAGAGTAAAAAAAGTTAATCAAGGCTTTTTAACCTACTTTTTTCAACTTTTAAATCATATTAAAAATTTTTCTCTCTTCCTTTCCCTTCTCCTCATACCAAAACATATGGACATTAAAGAGAGATAAAGCCAAAGTGTGCAAAAATAAATGGATAATGCTTTCAAAGTTATTATCACTATTTACAAATTTATTGGTGCTTGCTGCTAGCTCCTTTATGGGGTTATTTGTGAGGCTATACGCGTGAAGGTTGACTTGGAAGACTTACATAGACATCTCAGAACTACCCTCAGACTTTGTAATTTAAAAAAAAAAAGAAAACAGCTGTCACGCAAAACGTGCTATTTGGACTACTATAGAATTTTTACATTTGTGACAACAAAAATTTTTGGGCCCACTGACTTGTACTATCAATATATATATGACTCCTCCAGTCCTTACTATAGAATTTTACATTTGTGGCAACAAAACTTTTTGCCCAATGACTTGTACTGTCAAATATAATTACTCTTTCAGTTCTTAATATAATACTTATTTAATTAATTTAATTAATTAAAAAAATTATGTAAGTTAGTTAATTATGAGAACTATAACATGTTTTTTCTAAAACAATATCCTCCCTCTCTCACTTATTTGATTATAATTGAGGGAGTATTAGGGATAATTTAAAAAAAATTGATAAATATGAGAAATAATCTTATATTTAGGATCAAAATTAACTTAAGCAATTAAATCTTATATTAAGGATCGGAGGAGTATATATAATGAGGTAAACAAGTCATATTATTCATTACTCACAAATAATATGCCTCATCTCTCAAATCTTGTAGTATAATATATAAGAAATCGTGTTTAATTACATACAAAACAAAGTATTATTATTATTATTATAATATTGGATTTGTGGAGATGGTTTAGATCTCGCCGTGTGATCAACTAAGAAATGTTCTATTGGCAAAAAAAAAAAAAAACTAAGAAAAGAAATGTTCTAAACATATTATCTACCACACAAGAAAAGAAATTATCAAATAATTATAATTAATCAGTGCCCGGGATCGGTAAAAAGGATTTTTTTAAGAAAACAAAAGCATTTATATCTTATCATTTGTGAAATAGAAAGAACATGCGGACTAAAACCAGAAAAAGAAACAGATTCAATTCAAGCAAGGTCGATTGTTCACAAAAAAATGCAATATCTAAGTAAAATCTAAGGATAAAATTAGGAAGAATTTCACTGCACACCTCTATGCCTCTCGAATTAACATCCAAAAAACTCTCGAAGCATTATGTGATTTTACTATACCTCTTGGATCAAATGAAATTAAATTTTATACATGAAAAGGCATTTGTACCCTTACTTTCTTTTTTTGAAAAAAGAGTCACCCATCACCGACTTACAAGAGATATAAGTAAGTTTACAATGAAAATTAGGTAATTTATTAAAGAAAAAATCCTTTAAAAAGA